GTCCATTAGTATTTTTACATCAGCCTCTTGATGGAAACAGGGAATGGGGAGTTACTGAGAAAAGCTAAACAAAAATCAAGAAGCACCAACAAGACTTGCAGTGCTCAGGAACATCTGAATTTGGATTGGGTTACACTCGGGTGGGAAGATTCTTGTTGACTTTTGTCTGGGCCGATCCCTTCCCAGCACTTCCAGCCCACAGTACAGCATGGCAGCGCACCAGCACAGCCCAACACCTTGGCACAGATTTCCACCCGCTGGCAGCTGAACCCCAAACTCTGGCCAAGGTCAAAGGGAAGAATGGCAATGGTGGTCTAGACCAGATTCTCTCCAGAGAAGCTTCGTCCACGTCATTTGCACACGCACAGCGTGAATACACCACAGTGTCTGGTGCAGTCGGAGGTCAGGGTTTTAGCGATGACAGGGAAACCACGTATATGAGGTTCTTGCCCAGCCAGAGCTGAACAGCAAAGCACAGCGGGAAAGCTGCTTCCACTGAGCAGCAGGCAGCGAAAGCCCTCCCATCCACCCACACTTCTGGCTGGTCCAACTCGTTCCCAAGAAGTCTCTCCTGGGAAAACACGCTTAACACACTCATACGTATGCACACAAGGGCTTCAAAAATCCTGCCTGCTAACAGCAAAAGAAACTTGGCTGGTCCGCAAAGCCAACAGGAGCAGCTCCTGCAGAAGCACTTGTCCCACCACTGAGGGACTCCATCCTCAGCTCATACTCTTAGCAAACCCTCACCCCCTTCTTTCCCACCCCTTCCTCTCCCTGCTCCTCCATACTATAGTTCTTTTTTTCACTGACTCTTTTCTTTAAATATTCAGGGCTCTTTCGGAGTCCTTCATGAGCACAGCCAGCTCGGTCTCTTTATGAACTACTGGACCTTGGCAATGCTCCAGCATCACAGTGTTAAGAAAGACATTTTCTATTCAGCAGCACTAATGCCATCACATAAGTCTCTGTGGAGTAGGTCAGGAGGCAAAGCCTGCAGAGTGTAATAATATTTGTACTGCTGTCTAATCCTAGAGGGAAATTTGTAGGAGGAAAGATGTAGAGTGAAGTAGAACCAGCTAAGAGAATGCCAAGTGCCTCCAAACCACAGGGCTCTTCAATAAAAAGGGGAACAAAGAAAGACAGCTTCAACAATATCCACAGTGTTTCTTAATCTAATTATATTTTTACTCTAAGTTTTGTCATCATAAGAAATGCCCCTCACAGGCCTTTGTTGTCTTTTCCATAGGTGAAGTCACTCACCTGGTTAAACAGAAAGCTGCTAGTAAAACAGTCCAAATATATTGCAGATGCACAAAGATATCTTGAGAAAAGATTGTTAGAGATATAAAATCTATTTTCCTTTTTTTTTTCCCCCATGGTTCTCCCTGTTTCTTCCTGTGGTGCAAATACACCTCTTTTAGAAATGTCCCTGTCTTCTCTTAGACTGGGGCATGGTTGTCATTCTTCAGGCTTGAAATACGGTGTCCAGAAAGAATTTGAACTTACTTTTCTGAGCGACAAAAACACTATAATGGAGAGCTTTTCCTTGCTCCATGGAAGAAACTTTACTCTTTCCAACATTCAGAGTGAGGCTGCTAAACAAAATATGTCACTTACATATTAGAAATATCTCATTTGACAAACAATGTCTATGGAAAGTTTCATGTAGAGGAATGAACCTCAATCTTCAACAACACCTCTGCTACCACCTGTGATTTTCTGTCTCTCCATAACAAAATTAAAAGGAAAAGCCTTCTTAACTCCTTCAGGAAGGACAGAAGTATTGTTTCTAACTAACTGAGATCCTGAATTAAAACTGTCAGTTTAATTAGGTGGGTTTTAAAGAAAAGAAACCTGTATGAAAGAGACAGTATAAAACAATCCATCTTGTGAGAAATTTCTGTAAAAATGTTTGCAGCAAGGTATTAAAAGCTAGTACAACCTCAGTAAGAGAATCAATAAAAGTGCATGGTTATGACTGCTATCCTCGTATTAACCTTCCTTGGAAGAAGCAGTGAAATGGTGAGAATAAATCACTTTTTAATCAATGCTACCAGTTTCTTGAAACAGTCACATAGGTAATCCACTTTTCATTGACACTTCCTAATTCTTTTTTTCCTCTGCAGATTTTTTTTTTTAATCAGTTGATCTGAATAAGCCTTTTCTGTCTGGAAAAGTTACCTTTCTTTATTCAAGCCCTGTACATAGTTTCCCCTTTTGACTGATTTTGGTGAAGTGAAATACCCTGGTCTCAGCTTAGCTGCCCAGAAGCCTGCAGTCTGAGATGCCACTGAGCATCCACTTGGCTTCCTGCTGCTGGAGGGCTCAGGCACACACTGGAGCTGTGTTGTTGCATAAATTCTCTAATCTACTCAGTGAGGTCAAAACAATCTGGGGGAGATCACAAATCCTGAATTACTGAAAACAGCTCCCCAATAAAGTTCAACACTGTTCAAGAACAGACAGCTTTGGCATAGTTGGACATCTGTCAGAATGTGAGGATAAAGTGATCTAAATACTTGTATATTTAATCTTCCCCTTTATAAAAAACAAGTATAACAGTTGAATTACTTTTTGGTTATTTGTTCAACCTGCATAGCATTGTGGGATAAGACAAAGGGTCAGTTTTCAAGGTGAACACTGAAAATTTGCTGCAGAATGACAGGAATCATGAAAGTAATCATTTGGAGAACCAGCGTAATCTCTTCCGGAGAAGAAAACTTTATTTCTGAAATGAGAAGATGTCAAAAATAATTTTTTCCATCTCAGAAAAGGTACCAAAAATATGAACAACGTGAGGGTCAAGAATATACAAAAGAAAGTGAAAGGAAAAGTGCCACAATCTCCTAATAAAAGAAATGAGGGTGCAAGGGCAGACTTCTCATCTGCCCATTGAGGTTGAAATGCTGTGTAAGCTGATCTGGGAGCCTAACGCTTCTGAAGATATGGGATACCAAGCTAGATGCTCCATTAGGATGCCCATGGGAGAAGAACTTGTTCGGTCTGAAGCTAAGACGTGAAACTGAGCTGTGGTTGAAGAGAGATTAAAGTTTTCTTGGGGATGGAGCTGAAAGTTACCACATCCTACAAGAAATAAAACTTGTAACTAATTCATTTGCTTACTTTTTCAAATGAATCAATAAAAACTAGACATAAACTTTCCACTCCTGAGAGTTCTGTGAAAGCTTGGATTCCAAGAGGAATGTGTAAGGAAAAATAACAGTAGAAATCATTCTCCATGAGAGATGGAGATCAGGATGCTCCATCTTAACAACCATCTAGAAAAGTACTTACAAACGTTGGTGCATTTTTTCTCAGTCATATGTTCTCCTTTTTTTGACAGTGGCAGATTGTGTGATAAGAGACGTACTGCCCCATCTCAACAGATGGAGCTGGAAAGCTTTCTACCACTTGAAAAAAAATCAGAAGTGTAAAACTCATGGTGGACAGAAAAAAAGAAAATCTGCTTGTGGCTAGACATATCTCCAAGGTAGGTGTCATGCCTGTCCCACTGCAGGGTTCGTTTCTCAGCACCATTCATGCTCTACAGGATTTCTCTTCCCTTTTGAGTACTGACATTTTGACTGGAAGACTTTAAGTACATGCTGGGAGAAAACCGACCACTGAAACCTTCTGTCCTGGCCAGATCTTCACAAACAAGAGGACACATCTGCTGCTCTTTGCAAGCCACAGGAGAAGGTTGCTCCCTGCTGCCTCCTTGACGTGGACTAGGAAAGCCTATTGAAGGCACTGTCTTTGAAGTAGTTTCCACACAGCTTATAGGACTTCAGCCAAAATAGCATGCAGAATATATCAGAAAATACAGGTACGTGGAGGATGAGGGAAGCTGCTACAATGCTGGACCTCAGGTAAGAATCACAGCATTGCCCTTCCATTCTGCTTTGGAGGAGCCAAACTGTAAGAGCTGCATTAAGAGTACACAGAAAATTCCAGCTTCAGTTTTGGCCTGGTTCCAGGCAAGATGAATTAGACCACAATTATTGGAACATTTTTGCAATACTTACAAGATTCAGACACATATTTATATGACAAGTCACCAAAGTCTTCTTAACTGATCATAATGTTCTTAACTTTCATGATGTTCTAATTAAATGTTAGAAGACCTGATGGATATATATGGTTTCAGTTTTCAAAGATGCTCAGTTTCTCACAGAAGAATTACCCATAAATCTACAATAAGCACAAAAGGAACAGCAGGCAAGAGGAAAAGTCATCTCTGAGCGAGGAATTACAAAATTAATAATCAAAGACAGCATGGGATGATTTAACGAGGCTTTCAAATGTGTTAGAGTGCCTGCACTTTGGAAAGCTCTAGCTACTTCTAGGGACCTGCTAGAACACTGCATATAGGTTAATACATTTCTTCTAAGAACACATTTGATTTCTGCAGGTCTGTGGAAGTTCTTTCCTTTGTGAGTGCTGTATCTCATGAGGGGCTGTGGTATTTACCAGCTCTGCAATGGGATGCCAAGCAGTTGTTCTTTGCTGAGTCACTTCAGAGGGCTGCACAGGAGCACTCTGCTCTGCTCTGCTGATTTCTGTGATCTCATTAGCTCCTTCCCTTCACAAACATCTAGCTCACCCACAGAAATATATATGTAGCCTAGTCGTTATCCTATTTCTGTTGCCTGGATTTTAATCACTGCTCTGTTCCTAGTTGTTCCGTGATGGGTTCAGGCATAAAACAAATCTGCTCCTGATTCTTCCTGTCAACAAATGAACTAAAGACCATAAACTATCCTCTTCCTAATCTACTGTTTCAGCATATTAGCTAACATAAACCTGTTCCAGTGACCCATGTAATAGCCATACTGACATTTTATGGTTGGTTTCTCAGTCCCAGATGTAAATGATTAAAAACTATAAGGGATTTCTTTATACAAATCTATTAATAGGTTGGGGAATTTTTTGCTTCGTTTTTAGGGTAACGTATTTTGAGTCTGAAGCATGGAGCATAAAGCAGTGGCTGGCGTCAGAAGCCACTGCAATATACATTTCAGTTTCCTTCAGCCAGCCACAGCAAGAAAATTGATGGCCTGTTCTCTGGGGCTCGTGTGTTCCTCCTTGGCTGCTGTCTCCCACGCTGCTGGTGTTATTACTCTGTTTTCACTGCAAAAGAATGCAGGACATTCAAGCTATTCCAAGCAGCATCCTTGATGTCTGGATTTCATGGGAATGTTTCACACCGCAGTTATTGCTAACTGTTAACTTTCATACCTTGGACTGTTGTTTTTGGCAGCTTGCTCTGTTTTGCTAGCCGGACAGTCGTAAGCCAAAGCAGCCTTTGCTGCAAACATAAGATGTGTCGCCATCTATCATGCCGTTGCCAGCAGGGAGACCCAGATGATGGCACCCTGCTATGTGGAAGTAAGAGGGGAAATAAAAGACAAAGATATAGAAACACAAAAGGACTTTAAAGACAAAACAAAACCATCTTTGCTATGATCTCAACGAAAGTCTTTCAACTCATTTCAGGGAAAAAAGTGAAATTTCAGCATCTTAGTGCTGTTAACAGGCACATAGGCATTGGTGTGTGCATGGGAGGAGCAAGGAGCCCTCTTCATGACATTCTCCACCTTATACCAAACCTGTAAAAGAAGCTGCCCTCTGAGGATTGACTGCAAAGACTTGCAAGAGACAGAGGGCATACAATACAGTCTCCATCACTTGCACATCTCTTCTGCCACTCACACTCTATGCTGCTAGGAGGTCACAAGCATGGGCTGAGTTCACCATTCATTACAGTCTTACAACTGGCAGCTTGTCAAGATATCCTCAGCACTGGATGATGTTGCAGGAATGAAGAAGGGGCATGAGAAAAGAGGGATTATGTTTGAAGCTCTTCCTATGGCTGATTTGACTGATACCAGAGAGATAAGACCAAGATACTAAGCTTGGACTCAGACCCAGAATTTGTTGAGTCTGTCAGAGTTCATGGGTCTTCAGATGGGGAGCTTGGTTCAACTGCTTCAAATAGGAGCTACAAAAAGCTCAGATGTAGATCTGGTTTGCAATTTTCCTCACATCGAGCATGAATAATTAGAGGTTTGGAGTGAGTTCATGTAATGCAAAGAGAATAAACTATTGTTTGTGTCACAATGGAAAAGGAAGATAATTATTAATAGGAAGCAGGGTCGTTGTTCTATCCAAAACCCTAAAACTCCCGCAGCCTTTTCCAGTGAGTAGAAAAAACAGAGTGGACAGAGTCATCCAGCTTATTATTTAACAGGCTGTTTTTCTTTTCATGCAGAGTGCTTCTATGCAGAGAACTGGTTGCAGAGCATCACAGAAAACTTTGCTGAGCACAACAAGCTCCCGTGAAACATCTCTAAGTCTACAGCAGTGCTGGGAGAGAGGGCCTTCCTCCATCCCTGGCAGATCTGCCACAACAACAAGCCAATTGCTTGCCTTCCTCCTCCCATCGAGTCTGCAGAGCTGTCATTCCAGTCAGTGCAGCCACTGGAGAGAGAGGTGCAGACCTCCACAAAGCAAGCAAGATGCTCAGCACATGGCATTAACTATAGTACAGAGGACATTTGGATTGTCTGCTTTCCTTAGGAACTCAATAAAAAAGATACTCTAAATGAAGCGCCATTATTCCTCTGTAATTTGATTAGGCATCTTTGTCAGAGAACTATCAGTATAAAACCAAGGAATATCAAAGCTGTAAGGGCACTACAGATTTGAGAAGAAAAAAAAAAAAAAAGAATTGGGTTCAGTCCACTTCATGTCTTTCCTGCTAGTAAAATCATCATCTTACTGACAGGGAAGAAAAGCACAAAAGCATTAGTGGTTTGTCTGAGGCCACACAGGAAGTTTGAGAGAGAGCTGGAAACTCAGACCATATCTTCAGCATCCAAATCCTTAACCACAAGGCCATCCTCCTTTCCATAGCTATCTGTCTTGGGGAAGAGAAATAGAGCAATGCTGAATCTCATGGGCCAATAAATTATATTGCAATGACAAGCAGAATCTGTCCTCTGTGCTGATGTATTCTTTGCTGTGTGCAATTACCTTACCAGCAATCACTGGGCTGCTGCATTTGTTGGAAGACCAGTACATAATCTAGTGGAGATAATATGTCTTGATGATTCTTTAGACCTTCAAGTGAACTCGGTGGCCTCAAATTTCTATTGTCCGGTGAGTAACAGCCCATATCACACAACCCCTTCACATTTTATCATCTGCAATGCATTTTAAATTGACTTCTCAGTGGAAAAGGTAAGGCTGCTGCAGAAGAGGATTAATGATGCAGCTGGCTTGGAAAAGCTTGCACATAATGCCAGTATGTCGATCTGGCAGTAATTCCTCCTGTTCCTTATCACTCTTCATGCTTTTGAAGACTGTGATGGGAGGAAGAAAGAAATGAAGTTTTAGTAACTTTTCTTTAAGGGTGAGGTGAGACAAGGCTACTAGGGACAGGTAATGCCTTATTTTAAGCTCATAAAATAAAAAATGTGGCCTAATAAAAGATACTACCTCTGCCCTTAGACTGGCTGGTATACTGCCCTCAGTAACTGCTGTTGCAATCATGCATGCTGGTTCTTCAGAACACTGCCACTTGCAGCACTCAGAGATGGAAATAAACAGCTTACTGTTCCCTTCAGCCCTTAACAGCAACAACTAAGCACTCCCACGTCAGACGTCTGAAACACTAAAGTGAATCAGTGTGCTGTGAATGGGAGATAACAATCAAGGAAGTCATGTGTCTTACTCCAGACTTCTAAGTGGTGGAGATTTAGGAAATGTTCTTCATGAGAAAAAATAGGAATGACAATTTTTAAAAATTATCTTTAGATAAGTTTTTTCTTTGAGGCATTAGATATAAGAAAAATATGGGAAGGAAAGAACAGAATAATTAATTATTATGACCACAAGACACAGTGGGTTTTTTTTTCCCTTCCAGAGAACAAATGACTGGGTTATCTGCACTCTTCTGAAGGGCATGTGTGGGGAGGACAGTGGTGCTCCCTCGCTCGGGTATGACCCTTGAATTGTTTCCACAAGTACAGGATGAAGCAGGTGAGGCGTCTCATGCTAATAATGCTACAAGAGCTTCTCACAAACATCAGAGTCTGAGGCCATTTATTTTCACAGGAGCTAATCCCACCAAGACACTGCCGACTAAGCCTGGTTATGGTTGTCCTGCCAAGCTATTCCTTGCAACTCAACAGATCATAATACAGATAAAAAAGGCACGATGTTAACCTTGGGAGCAACTGAGGATACCAAAAGTTAATGGCCTTGCTGCCCTGTGTCCGTCTTTCCCCTGTGGCTCCCATGGGGATCTTACAGAATTGTGGTAAGCAGTACTGTGCCTAAGTGGATGTTCTTAGGAGAGGCAGGGTGAACCCTTACATGCACATTTCAGTACTTAAATCAGTACTTACAGTACTTAAAGAAGTTAGAATTTCAGCAGCCCACTCTGAAAACTAAATATGTAAGCACAGCTTTTGAGAATAAGGTCTTTCATTCCTTTCTCTAATGTGGATTTAGAAGTCTTGCTAAGCACGGTCCTCCAATTCCAGAGATAAACACTGACAAGATGCTGACCAGATAACCTTTCTGCTCGTGCCCTTGTTTTATAGGAATTGATAGGCATTTCAGGACCTTCTGAAAACTGTAGAGGTGTTCTGACTAAATGTCATGAAAATACAGGAGACCATCAGAGGCCACGTGTGACACTGGGCTGGCTGATAGCTTACCACTGCTTCTGCTTGTCGGTGAGAGAGAATAAACAATTTAACTCTGTCATAAACCATTTCATTGTGTTTGAAGTAATAAGAGAAAGTACTTGAAATGCAGTAAGGAAGACTGTGTCAAACTTTATGCACAGGAATCACCTTATACTCGTTTTAGCATGAAATACCTGATTTCTATGTCTTCTGAGACAGGCAGGGATGTACTCTACTTTTGTATCCTTCATCTCCCCAATCATGTGCCTTGTTCAGGCTCAGGCTTCAAAGCTGCCCAAGAAAGACCTGGCCAGATGCAGACATTATTTGCTAAACAACCTGAAAATATGCAGGTTTGTGAAAGTTGTGCCTGGCAGCTACTTTTACACTCCCTCACCATTGGAAAACAAACCTAAGCACCAGAGGCTGTTCAGTAAAAGTTCACTAATAAACTTTGAACTGTTAAAACCATGTGTTATAGGTACTCTTGTTAGCCAGTGTGTGTTATGTTTGGCTTTGAAAGCACCTCAGCTTTCACTTTATGCAAATGAACCAATCAGATGCATCTGACAAAATCCTGGATGGCCTGGCAGAAAGGCTTTCTGGACCCTGTCACACTTTGGAGAGAGGGAGCATGTGTATGTGGCAAACTAAATTCATCAGGTTGGTTCCTATGATGACATGAGCTCCAAGGGAATGGACTGATCTTCCATGTGGGCTTAGAAAGGAAAGATGCTGACACCTGCTCTGGTTCCAGGTTAAGAACATTTCATGTAGAAGAGAAGCCGCCTCAGTGCCAGTCTAATGCAAGTTTAACATCTACATTTCCCACTAGCTGTGGGATATCGAGGAAGGCCTTAAATCTGAAGCAATCTATAAAGGTACATAGCCTTAAATAGTCGTAAAATTCACATCAACATAAAAAAAAAAAAATCCAGATGTTTGTGACTGGATTAATTACTTATAAGTGTTCAAGTAGTGTGAGTCAACCATTTTTTGCCTGCAAGTTGTTCACAAGGGAACTACTTTCTCTACGCCCCATTTCTGCTGTGTAATTCATCACTTAGGTCCCATAATATTGTTTCTGATTCCTGGCTGAGTAACTAAACACTTCTAGTCATGTGTGTGCACACATTTAAACAGGATTGCAAGGAAGAAACAAGTGCGAAAACAGTGAATAGACAAAAAACACATTTCAAACATGCTAGCACTAATTTAAAGCAGTCATGGCCCAAACATTTAACACAAATAAAGTCCGTGTGCAATCATTCACGTCTTTATCATCTGTTAAATTCACATTTGGTAAAGCTAGCCATAACACAAAGAATTTGGCTACAAAAGCCTCTCTTTGTAAAGTCAACGTGCCCCATTTTCCAATTTCTTCTACTTCAGCAAAGGATGGTTAATATAGATACCTTTAGGCAAAGGGAGAGAAGAAAATCATCGTCTTTCTCCAGTGTAATTCTCCCTCCCACTAGTGTGAGGCAGTTTTTGCTATGCTGATTGAAAGGTATACTTAAGAGAGGTACTGCTAAAGTCTTGTTTCACCACAAAAACTCCCTGGCATGAAGCTAGCTATAACTCTTCTAACCCATCCATTTTGAATGACTGTCATTAGGAAAGAATTCATTGGCTTTGCATTTCATATAAGGTAATGGTTTCTAGAGGATTTTTGGGCA